TAAGGCACCAGGAATGGTGTGAGAACCTTAGAACGATGTACTGACTCATGTGCAAATATTTTTAATTCTTTGTTTTGTTTGTAATAGTAAACTCAACCAGTTTCATTGTGGGGGGAGGATTGATATCTGAAGGAATTTTGCTCAAGCGGGGGAAGAAGGTGGCACAGAACCAAGCTCAGCTGGTTTTGACTGAGATGTTGAACCTGTGGAGTGTCAGATGGAAATTGTTTACAAACCAGCAGTGATGCTACTGTGAGTGTGCCCAAGCTCGTGGCTGGTGCTGGGTGGGGAGATCACTTGAGTGAAGGCCGGTTCTGTCTGACAAGGGCACAGATGCTTGCTGGGACAAGTTGGAGTCAAGAGAGGTTAATGGAGCTGTATTTGCCTTCAGCTGGCTGCGCTTGGCCTCTCTGTCATTTCACAAGAGCACAGAGAGGAATGATGTTTAATGTTCAGTGTGTTATGTCAACATTTAGCAATATTATTAATATGTCCAATTAAGAGAGGCTTCATATTAGGTTTGGTACCCATTTCCCTACCCTACAGCTCTCTCCATGCCTTTTTTAATAGGTATAGGATACCATATAAAGGGCACACTTCTTTTTTAGGCTGTCTTGGGTCTGTACAATCATCTCACAGTTCCTATCGGTCTGCTTTCTCTTCTTACGTTTCCTGAACTCCACAGACTTCTCCCCTCGCACCCTATGCGGGGATGGTCTTGACCAGAACTGGCAGAGGGCTGCAGGCTGACTGTCATCTCTTGGTAGTTTTCTCTTAACCTCCACAATATCTAGTGGAAGATTTTTCTCTGAAGACCTGTTCCTGCAGAGAAGGAACTTTCAGGCTTTCCATTTCAATTAATGGAATAAAAGTTGAGGGTTTATGTCACTCTTGTCCGAGTGGAAAGAAGCTTGTTTAAAATGGCCCTCTCCTCCCATTTAGGATCGGGGTTAAATGCCCAGTCCTAGCATTTGACGCTTAGAAGTGTGCACACAGGGCCCCTGCTTTTTGAGTCCGTGGGTCAAGAATATGAAAAATAGCTCCTTAACCTCTGTTCATCTGGTTGCATTGACCTTAGGGGGTATTGCAGGAGGCAGCTGGGCTCTCAGAAGAGTTGTGAATGCTTCAGGAGCCTGCTGCCATTTAGCCTTGCTTGTTGCTGACATTAGGAGAAAGCGGCAAAAGTTAAGGAAGCGGTGCTGTGCCACTGGCAGCCTGTGCTTTGCCCATCACCGCGTCCTGCCAGCTCAGTGCAGACAGGGATTGTGGAGGCATTGCCTGGACGTCCTCGTCTCCCCTCTGTGCGGCCCTGACGGCTGTCCCTGTAGAAGGTTCACAACAGAGTCGGGAGTTTATACTATGCTTAAAACACCCAACCCTCTAAAGGAGGAGTTTTAAAGATCGTTGACCTGGGTAGCTGTGAGATGGGACTGCTTGTGTGAGGACCACCGTATCTGCTCTGGCTGGAGGTTGGTGTGGGCTTGCTCTGAGATGCTGCGTCTTCTGAAGCGATAAACAGGGAGGTTTAGATTAGGTATCAGGAAGAAGTTCTTCACGGAGAGGGTGGTGAGGCACTAGGACAGGTTGCCCAGAGAAGCTGTGGATGCCCCATCCCTGGGAGTGTCCAAGGCCAGGCTGGATGAGGCTTGGAGCAACCTGGTCTAGTGGAAGGTGTCCCTGCCCGTGGCAGGGGGGTTGGAACTAGATGATCTTTAAAGTCCCTTCCACCCCAAACCATTCTGTGATGCTATGAAATGTATGCTCCCTTGGAGTGGAAGAAGCAAAACAGTTGCCTTCTTCCTGATCCTTCATCCTGCCGTTCCCCAGTGGTGGTGAAAGCTGTTGTGGCATTGCTTTGTTTAACTTTCTCTCCCAATCTTGCTGTGGGACAGAGGTATGTTTTCAGGCATGTCCATGCAGATGTTCCTGTTCTGCAAGAGGCTGTAGGGCTTCTGGGCCAGCGGCTCAAATGATTTCCTTGTCTGTAGTGAAGGGAGGTGGATTTAGATCAGATCAGGCTCTGGCCAGACACCTGAGTAAACTTTCATTTGGTTTTGTAGCAAAACTTACTCCCACGAGCTTTAAGCTAGCCAGAGAGGTCCCCTCTAAAACAGAAAGGAAAGGAGGGATCCTGATCCTCTCTACAGATGTGTACAGATTATTATTTTAATTATCTCTTGGCAAGCTCTTGATTTACACCCATGCAACAGATGAGAAGTTGGCCTCTAGCACTGGAATTGGTTCTGACACCATGGCAGGCTCTGGCTAGCAGGCTCTCCCGAATGAAGGTGGCAGTAGGGAAGCCATCGCCTCGGATCCCCAGGCAGGAAACTACGTGGAAGCTCAGGCACCAAAGGTGACTCTCTTCACCAGCAGTCTGTGGCTCCCGCTGTGAGGCATCTCTCACTGCAGAAAGTTCCTGGCTCCCAGAGTGAGCCTTTCATGAAAGGCAAGCAGCTTTGAATAATGAGGAATCGCACCGGTGAGCGGCTTTCCCCAGCCGCAAATGTCTCCAGCAGCTTATCCTGTGCAGGGATTTCGGAGCACGGCAGGCTGAGGAGCCTCAGCCCAACTGTTGCCCTGCAACTCCTCTTAGCCCACTGAGGAGTATAACGCTGGGCTTTAACGTGCCCGAGTGCCGGCTGGCATCTCCAGCTGTGGGGATCCGAAACGCAGGACCCGCCGATTTGCCTACCCCATGATGCTCTCGCTCGCACGCTCACGTGCTGCGGTAATGGTTTAATAGCAGCCCCACCCAGCGCAGTCAGGAGAAGGACTTGCTGCGTAAGCAAAAGCTGGGGAACCTCGCTGCTGTGCGCAGCACTCTGCAAGCGCTCCGCTCACGTTTTGGGAGAGCTTTTTTGTGTTTACCTGGAATCGCCGGTGCCAAAAGAACCGAGAAAGGACGGCAGTTTGCTCCTTTTGATCTTCTCTCCTCCTACATTTGGAGATGGCTGCGCTCCTGGGTGTAGGGCTCGTCAGGACACCGGGGCATAGCGTGCCATGGTACCACTAATGCTTTCTCTCTTGGCAGGACTCGGAGTCGCTGGACAGTTGCATTCAGAGTACGTTATCAGCACTCTACCCTCCGTTTGAGGCTACCGCAGCCACTGTTCTGTGCCAAGTTTTTGATGTGGTGGAGAAGACGTACCGTGGGGATGGACTGCGCTACCTCATAGACTTCCTGATTCCAGCCAAGCCACTGTTCTGTGCCAAGTTGCAGGATGCCTGTGTGAGTACATCATGCTCTTGAAGGCCTACAAAGGCTTTCTTGGAGAGATTGCTTTCTGCTCTCGTATGTAAAACGGCTGGCAAAAAGCGCTTGCGTGTGTACAGCAGCCTAGGTGGGAGAGCAGGCAATTAGGAAACAGCTGAGAAATTGTTACTGAAGCTTAACCATACAGAGATCAAATGTGGAGCAGTGTCCTTACCTTCCATAACCAGGAACACCAGGAACAGAAGGCTTAAGGCATTCAGAGGAGGAGGTTTAGCAAAGAGTTTGTTGGATATGGCTGACTTGGGTGGTTTATATCCCCAGCTGTTCCCTGGCTCTGTGGATGAAGCTGCTGGGCTCCCACCGCTGGCAGGAGGATATGTGGGGCAAAATGCTGCCAGTCAGTGTTTTTCCCAGAACTCTGGCTCCCCTTTGATGGTTGCTGGAACAGTCGCAAAGCTCAGTAGCCCCGAGGAGTCACGTTACATTTACTGCCAGAACGAGTCCAAGATTAACGTGCTTTACTGTTGGGAGTCTAAAATGTTAGAAACGATGAGTCAAATGCCTCCATCACAAACTTGGCTCAACGTCTGCAAGACGGAAAAAAATAAACCAACACCCAACCAACCCCAACAACCTTAAACTAGGGTTTGTTCTAGCTTTATGTCTCTGAACCTGTGCGGGGGGTATGTGGCCAGACTTTTGGTAGAAGTCCTTGCAGTGGAGGGCAAGGGGGTTCAGGGAGGAGAAGAAATATTAAATAGAAGCTGAAATAGTTATTAATTTGTCTCGAGGTGAAATGCTGGGGGGAAACACCCATCATATACGATGGATCCACCTAACAGCCCCTGGGAGCTGGTCCCTTGCAAGTGTTTTGGTGCAGCCAGATCCCACTGCGTTGTCACCAGCCATGTGTTTGAGAGCCCAGAAAAATCCAAGGTTGTGCATGAGGATTTTGGGGAGCTGCTCTCCCTCACCCTGAACACTCAAACAGGAGTTATTCCATCGGTGTATCTGGCAGCGGTTTCTAACTTGATGGTGCATAATGTCTATTTTCCCCTTTAAAGAAACAAAAGGCTTTTAGTTTGTACAAACTGGTAATTACTGCAAGACTTTCACGGCTTTCCCCAAACAGCCTCCCTCACCGGAGGAGGCAAGTTAGCAATTTCCCCGCTCCCTGAGATCTCAGCAGCTTCCCAGTGCCGGCGGGGCCCTGGGCAGCGCGTGGTGGAGGGGAGGGGAGGGAAGGAGCCCGGCTTGCGAACAGAGTCCCAGCAGCGCAGCCCAGCCCTCTGTCCCCGGGCTCGTGGGGAGAGTGCTGCTCTCCCAAAAGAGGGAGAGTGTTCGGCGGGCGACACTGAGGGGGGGCTGTGCCTCCCTGGGCGGCCGGGCAGGGACTGGTGGGGGCGGGCATCCACCACGGGCCCCGGCTGCCCTCGGGCTGAGGCC